TAAAGAGAAAAGAAAAAGTTGCTCTCCATATATGAAGAAGCATCACAAGCAGAGACATAGCATGTTCGATATGACTGAATTGCAAGACATAAGGGAAAAGGAGCAAATGGGGGAAGCAAAGGGGAATAATTCTCCAGCAAATTGTCACGCTTCTGCACTTCCGAACAGCAGGCTACACGCAAACAGGCTAACTCCTGCAACTGCGTCCAAAACAAGGTGTCTCCTAGCGTGGTCTGCACGTCGGGCAAACTGAGGCACACTTCCATAACCCCAGTTTGGAGCTGTTACCATTGTAAGTGTTTGGGGTAAAATCCATCTTTGCAGGAGAGGGTGATTTTCCTCACAACACGACAGTACTACGGATAATGCAAAAGTATCGATTTCCTAATTCCTATCAAAACCCATGGGACTGAAATATTGTCTTAGGAGCCAGGTATCTAAAAACCTTTCTCAACGTGGGCTTGCTTCAAACAGGAATTTTCTTACTGTCTCATCCTCCTAAATACTCAACTTCCTTACTCTTCCCATCCTCCTTTATTTTTTCTTCTAAGGAAAGCTTAAGAGGAACCTGTAGGACTAAAGTGCATGTGCCTGGCACATGTAACAAGTCATAGTAACCAGAATATCCCCCTACACACGTGATTCTTTGAAATTGGGATGCGGTAGTGAGGTTGTCATAGAAACAACTGCATTCATCACCCACAGAATGGTAAGAACAGACTGTTGTTCCTCATTCGGAGAGGTATGTGGAGACAACAGGCGGTAGTGGGAATTAAAGGCACTCAGCTTCTCAAAGGATGAGCTCTCATTCCGGTGCATTGTGAGTGGTTCAGCCTGATGAAGACATTATGAGGCTTGATGCCTGTTCCTCTGAGCAGACTGAGTGTAGGAGTCCCACTGAAGCCTTTCTTCAGGCAAACTTTCTTTGCAGGAACTGGATGCCAAAGCTTTCGATGAGATAAACTAGTTCTCATCCACTTGGCGATGAGCATGTTCCCAGAGAAGGGAGAGCGCAAAGCCTCTAGTAACAAAGGAGCTTGGAGTGAGCAGATACTGTAAGGTTGTGTGTTGAAGGCAACCTTTCTTGCAGGCTTTCATAACCCCTCCGGTTAATTGTGGGCTTAGGCGTTGGTTTAATAGCTTGAACGACAACGGATCAAAGTACAGTTCGTTCACAATGTGGATTGCTCCAAGTCTGCTTGGGTACCTGGGAACATGAAATATTTTATATCTGTTAACTTCATGGATATAAACTCTGAACAGGGGGACAAATGACAAATAGCAGATGGCTAGTTTCCAAACAAACTTTAAGAAACTTTCAAGATGAGTACGTTCACCAAATGCTTCTTAGTTGCTAAATAATATCCAATGATTTTATTAGCAGCAAGTCCAGCTCAGGTTGTTTGTTCAAGGACATATTAGCCGCACCGACCTTTCCCTGTTCAGCCAGTTCTCCCCATTCCTGTTCAGCTGGGATTTGTTTCTCAGTGCCATGAAGACCGTCCTGCCACTTTGGACATGGAAAAGGGGATCTGATATATGGAAACAAGACTTGCAAACAACCCTGCAATGATCCTGCAAACAACCCTTGTGTGAGGAATTTTTGGATCTGCTTTAAAGGTTCTTCATTGCTCCTGTTCTCAGCCTGTCGTGGACCCCGTGTGCGACCTGGCTATCAGATACATCCTAGGAATAAAATAGGCCACTAATGAGCACTGTACCTGGCCATAAAGTCGTTACTGCGACTTTTATTACTGCTAAGACCGATGTTGGGATGCAATTTACTTAGAGGGGCCAGCAGAACTAACAGACTACCCAGAAATTAGTTGGAAAAATTGCTCAGGAAAAGATTTTAAAATAATTTCCACTTCTCTGCAGGTTGTTTTGTAATTACACTGCAAATTACCTCAAACAGAATCCTGAAGAACAATAGAAAAAACTGCCCACGTTCAGATCTCTTCTTTAAGACACAGCTGGTGTTACTGGCTGTCCTTGTGGCTGTTTACTATGTAGATTGAATTAAAGATCAATATTTGAAGCAAGTATTGTTTGTACTATGTGTCAGGGGTCCAAAAGCAGAGACAGAGTCTTCTGAACCTGGACATCTTGGTGCTGGTGTCTGCCGCTTTGGTACTAAATTTTTTAGTGAACTGTGACACAGTAGAAGGCTGAAATTATGAGACAGTTGTTCTAAGCTTCGGTCTTAGAGAAAATAAATTATTCATGATAAAAGTACTACACAAATATTATCTCCCATTTCTCTATAACCTTCTTTGCTCCCCTTGCAGAGTGTCATCTGCTCTTAAGTAACAAATAAGTTTTTAATGGGTCTTCACTCCTGGTTTTTCCTGAAGTCCCTGTACCAGACGTTATGAAGGTACCGTTTATTACACCATTAATTTCTTCCTCTACCTGTAAGCAGATGAGAAAACTCTCAGACTTTCCAGAAATTAAACCTTGTCTTCACAACCAGAAATCTCTCAGGATAATAAACAAAGAAATCCTAATGAAGTCAGAAAAGTCCACACTTTTCATACAAATTAGCAGGCAGAGCTCAAGACAATTGGAAGCTATAGCTCACCTGTGACCCTAGTTCACACGAGAGCCAGCTAAAACATCTTTTTAAATATTTCCTGGTAAATCCTCAGCTTAAAAATGAATTATGAAAAAATAATACAAAAACATATTTACATGCTAGAGCAGTGGTTTTAATTTTTTTCTTTTAAATCGGTAATTAAAGAAAAAAAATTCCTGCAACTTGAAGCTATGCCATCTGATTCTCACTCTTACAACTCGCTTGTATTCATCTATTACCATGTGAATAGGGGAGTGATTACACTCCTGCCAATATATTAGGTTTACCAGAGCAGGATTTGCCTTGATTGGCCTAAAGCAAGGGCAGACTAATTTAGTTCACAAAGGTAAATTAAACTGATAGGCTTTAATTAGGGAAAGTTCCATTTACAACCCAATACGGGGCATAAGGTTATTTGTACTCAGCACAGTCTCAGAGAAGATGACAGCACTTTTCTTTTCCTCTCTCTAATGCAGAACTCTTCAATCAATATAATAGTTCTGGGTCCTGGACTGCATATTCTCCTCATCCTGCCTGCCATAATCATAACCCAAATTTCACTTTGATTCTACTCTTTTTTCCTTTAGTGGGTGAGTAAGGTCAATTTGAACATGTTGCTTCTTTTCTGTACTTTCTGAAAGGTTTCTGTGAATATTCCCATTAGTCTAAAGCCTGGTTCACTGTCTTATTTTTCCCTCTATTTTCTGTGTACACCTAGAGTTGTACACGCCACCAAACAAGCAGCACTGTCTAGAGGTTGGGGCTAAATGACCAAAACACTTTTAACACCACAGCTCTGAATACTGGAACACCCTTTAAAGCGTTTTATTCCTCTGGTGCAGCTAAAGTCAGTTTTATACACAACTGTGCAGTGATGTAGCTGTATACAAGGTGTGTGATCCACCGATGGGGATGTAAGGTTTGAGCATGAAGAACAGGCTAGAGTATGCTGCCAAGAAGAAAGGTGCTGAAGGTGTTTTAAGAAAGGCAGAATGAAGGAGAATGTTTTCAGTCTACAAAAATAATCTTTAGTATCAGTTTTAAGTTCTGTGCACAGTAAAGCATAGTGGAGCCACATTTATTTTTTTTAATCTACATGCCGTTTCTCTCTAATAAGGATTCAACATCTGGGCTATAAAAATATAATCATGAAGAGGAAATCTATTAAAAAAGTAAAACAAAACTCTCAAACACAAAGCCTGTAAAATAAAGGCTTGGGTCAAAAGCCCTCACTGACGCAGCTGGTTTTCAAAGAAACGGTAGTAGCTTTTAGCAGGAGGAAAATTGCTGAATAGTGCTCTGCACATCCTGAATTAAGATAATACAAATAGCCGTCTGTGAGAAAAACAGATAGGCTAATGGCCTCTCCTCTCTGGTTAACAGAGCAGGGCTATTCAGAAATGTACGCTGGCTAGGGGGTTTTTTGTACGTTTTGCTTTTTGAGGGTTTTTTCCCTCTCTTTGATCAGCTGCTTTTTAAAAGTAAAAAACTGTAATACAGGAAACCGTAATGGAATTCTGTTCCGTGTCATCTTTTCCCCTTTTTTGACACGTCACCTATTTAACCCAGTGGCCTACTAAGCTAAGGGATGAATGACATTTGTTACATTGCTCTACTGGAGCAGATGAATCTGATGTGTTCTCCATTATGGGTAATAGCTCAAATACATTCCTTGCTTCCAGGGAATGGCTTGAACAGATCAAGAGCTCCATTTAACATCCAGGTGCTTAAGCTGAGAGTCACAATTGCTATTCACAAGCTGTTTAGGTTTTTTTCTGAAAAAAAACCCAAACCCTAAATTTATTGACTTGAAGGTTAAAAATCCTTGGACTCATTTTCAGATTACATAAGCAGGTGCCACAGACTGGGAGTGCTTTTGCCAATAGTCAGATTATCCTCTAACCTGTGCAAACCTTTTTTTTTACTAATAATGTTTGAGCACCTCAAAAGTCTATCATCTGTTTCCTTGCTGATCATGTGGTCCTCTATCAGGCAAGCAGCTTTATTGCTGTCATTTCAGTCTGCCTGAAAATGCTAGAAAGCTGTAAAAGCTATATCTACATCTGTGTATATTATTATTATTATTCTCAATAAATATTCACTCAACATATTCACTTATTAGGGTGAAAACCCCAAATATCACTACTGTGCAAATTATGCATGTACGATATAGATAAATTCCAAGTGCAATGAATTACCTTTCAGCTGTGTTTTATACTCACTATAAACATCTGTACTCAGACTTAACTTTTAAAGGCAAGACTCAAAGCCCACCATACTAACGCATTTTACGCCAAATAGAGGAAAATAGAGGAAAATAACAGTGAATACAGTACTTCTGTGTTTAATGTTATCCATGTATTTTATATGAAAGATTCTAGACTACATTTTTCTTCCAGACTTTGCATCGTTAGTACAGAGATTACTACTGGTAACCTGCTAATTTAAGAACAACAGGGTAGCGTGTGCGATGGGCCATGCACTTTTGCCTATCAATAAAAATACTGTTCGTTTTCACAGCTATTTCTTTTTCTAAATCCATCCGTGTGTCTTCCAGGTTCCTCAGAGACTGTTCAGATTCCAGCAGTTTTTTCTTCAGGGATTCAATGGACTCCGTTAGTTCTTCAGCTTCACTGATCAACCTGAACAGAATTACATTAAGTAATAAAAAAAAAGAGCAGAAGCCAGTCGATGTTCAAAAAGACATATGAACTGTAATGGGAATAAAGATCAACAGCTAGAGAATCATAATACTCAACAACAAAGGACCTCAGAGAGGTCCTACATACTTGGTCAAAAGCACAGTTCACTTTCACAGCTTCTGTACAGAAGTCTCCCATGATTTAGATAGTACCAACAATGTCTTTTGCCACTAAGCACAGTGGAACTCTCCATCCTCACCTTCTCCCACTCTGTAGGACACTTGTACGAAGAATTATAGGACAGAAATTGTTAGGTAAGTCACCCAGTTTGACTGGATAAGCATTTTGTTAAGCCTGGTTTTGGATATCTGTTCACTGGTATAAAACTCAAGTGTTAAAGATGATACTAGCACCAGAGATCAGAAAACAGTCTTTACTTTAAAAAGCATATAAGCTTTTAAAGAAGCAGCAGCACACCATTTTAAAAAAAGCAGCAAACTGTTTTTTAAAGAAGGACATCATTTCAACTGCAAGTCAGTGAGGGTTAGGTTCTTTACCGCAATCAGCCTGGAGAGAAGGCACATATTTACTTCCTGGGAAAACAAATCCCTGTGTGCTATGCAAACTGAGTTAACTACAAACAGTATAAGCCTGGCAATTAAACACATGCCCATTCAGCAAAGGACTTGCATGTGTCCTTAAATCCCATTAAAGGCAATGTACATACTGAAAAGCTTGCACACGGATGGTTTGCTGAATTGGGACCTTAAATGAGTGCGCCTGAGATTGTATAAAGCATTTGGATTAACTGTAACTTCTTCCTCACTGTATAAAGAACAGCATATTGGCTTTGAATGGTAGGAACCTTTGCTTCAAGGATATCGTAAGCCTGCAAAAGCCGATTCCCCACTTTTCCTAAGGGTAGGAAAATGTGAAGGAGGAGAATCAATTGCAAAGCTTATAATGAGATCAAAACTGACAAATGTGACACTCAGACCTTTAATTTGAAAGGATTTGTTGACCTCCAGTTTTAAAACGGATTATTGCTGAAAATAAAACGCCACCAGCCTAATGCTTTGTAGTACTGAGGACTTGTCTCAGACTATGAATATGTGCAGCCCATTTACATTCTCAGCACTTGAAGCATAATTCATTTGGCACATAGTCCACCTTGTGGTGAGCTTTTGCTAGCAGCAAAAGGGTTGCAAATGTTCCACGTGCTGTCAGATTTTTTTTGGATCATCTAAATAAAAAAGAAACCACACAGTTCAGAGAAGAAAGCGTAGAGACAAAAGGCAGAGTTGAGTCTGTAGATTTTCTATGTGTCAATACATTAGGTTAAAATGATATTTTCCTCACAGTGATTTCAGTGAATTGAATTATTTCTGACTTATATCAGAATCAAACCTAGTAATAAAAGCTGAAGGCTATGTGTTGCCAATAAAAAGCGCAAAAACTGTCTAACATCACTTCTGGATAGAATGGACACCTTGGAGGACTTGTTCAATAGTGTTTACCTGAATTGTGCTTCGTCTCTGCAGAGCTCTATGTTGGGCCTAAAAGACCTGTCATACAGCCTTGTTTGAGCAACTTTCATTGGGGCTTCTTTGTCTCTGATAGCTTCTTTGAGAGCAGCAATGTTAGCTTCTTGATCTCCAATCTCCTTAAGGATCTAAAGAGGATACCAAGAAAAAGAACTGTTTAAAAAAAGATACATGTTGTCTCTGTGCATGCTATACATCTGTTCATGGTCCTAGTCAATCAGTTATAGTTTTGACCTCCTATTTGGCCAGAATATAGAAGAAATAGAAGCACAAAGGTGGTTTTGACCTCTATTTCTGCTAATACACTGAGAATCTGATCTTTGGTCTAAAAAGAAGCAGAAAATATTCTGCAGCCTGTTCAATAATTCTTCCATGTCTCCTGACAACACATACCACCTCCATGAATTGCTTTTAATTGTAAATGTTTAACTGTAAATTACCCAAGAAAAATTCAAGTTATTTTGAATGAGATTGAGAACTGCTGATCAGCTTGGAAATGCATGGGTTTCTGGCAGTAGTGAAGAAAATGGAAAAGACAGGAAATTCTGAACCTCTTCTCCCTCATAACCACTGACACACAAGCAAAAAATAAAGTCTACCCAGCTGTCATTACCCAGCAGGTGCTACGGAATGACTATTTTTTCCACACTGGCCAATGGCCTAACACGGAAGTAGGAGCTGCTCCACACTGGCGAAGGGGCAGAGGCTGAAGACACCTCTTGTCACTTGCCAGGAACTGCTGCTGCTGATACTACTGCAGCCCAGCATGGCTTTCATTCCATAAAAGTGATAACCAGGCTAGCCTAGGAATCCTGGCCCAAAGATCAGCTCCTTGATCAATGATCCTTGATTAATTTTCTTCATATTTAAGTCCATCTCTTGTTTAGAGAAGCACAACAGAGAGCAGAAAAAGCTGAATTGGAGCCACAATCCAGCTCTGAATATTCTTATCAGATACTAAGCTGACACAACATAGTGTTCGATACCTGACATGGACGAAGACATTTTTTTCTAGAGAATAAATCTACTGTGATCTTCCCAAAAGAGACTATCATGCCTGTAGCCAACACTCAAAAAATAACACTTACTTTTTTCAAATGATGCTCTAGTTTGTGTTTTGTATCATCCAGCTCGTCACAGCGTTTGGCAAAAGCCTCATTAACAGCAGCACATTGCATCCTCAGGTCCTCAGATACGTCATGAAGAATATTGTCAATCAAGGCACGAAGATTGATGGAAGCCAGTTTTTCTCGTTCTGCCCTGTAGATGTTGTCATGACTGAACTTGGCCCATGTCTCCGGTGTTGAGGCACTGGAAGAAGAGGTGAATGGTATACAAATAGGAACCTTGCTCTGTTGTTCAAGTTGCACTTAAGAAGACAATCTGAAGCTGGTTCTCTCCCTGCGAAAGTGTTGTCAACCTCTATTTGTTTTCGCTGTTGCATGCAGTCCAGACTTACTATGAAGGAAGAAGACTAATCCTTTATAAAATTAATAAACTCTTGTTCATCTTGTGGCTTCTGAGGGAAGTAATACATGACACAAAATCATCCAAAGTTCTTCCATCTCTAGCTAACACTACTAAGGCAAAAAAAGTATACACATACTTTTTTGTGCAAGCACAAGTAAAGTCACCAGCAAATAAACACATGAATATATTCAAGCTTTACAGCCTGTGTCTACTTTGAAACAAAAAGAAACAAGATCTCTGGTTATACTTTGCCATGTCGAGCAGCAGAAGGAACTACATAGCACTTGGGACGCTGCATCATATGAACACTGCCTGAAAGGGGAGGGGGAAGCAGCAAGATTTATTGTAATAGTAATCCTCTTCCTCTCTGTGTACAGGAAGCAGCACTTGCCTTTCCTGAAAGAATGGCATGACTGCCGATGTCAAATGGCAAGCCTCAATAGGATTTAGGTCAGCCTTTGAAAGTATAAAGCCAATTATTTCCAAGAAAAACTTTTACAAGCTCAGTTTGGATATAGTAGACCAGCTTTGCCATCAGTGGTATACCATGCTGAGATGGTAGTACTACCCTTACTATCCATGTAGCTATTTTAAAGCTATGACATTTTATGTCCAAAGAAGCAGCAATCACACCTTTCATTCAGAGCAGCATTACAGCTTTCACTGATGCAAAGGATGTATTGTATCTTACCAGGGTTATTTGTGGAGGACAATGACAGTAACTACTCACCTCTCTTCAAACTTCACTGAACTAGGATGGAACTGGATGTTGGTGCTCTGGTTACTGTATCTTCCACATTTATCATCAATGTTATACGTTTCAACTTTGTCTGACCAGTCCATTTCACAAACCTCTTTGTGATCTCGATTTAATCTGAAAAGTCATTATTATCACACATTGTTAGTGGAAAACAACACAATTAACAAAACTGTATCACAGACATTTGTGAAGCTAGGCTCTGAGCCTTCATCTTTCAAAGGGCAATGAGAACATAAACTTTCCTTTTTGTCTTGAACATGCTAACCAAACTCTCTCTCCCACAAGTATCTGATAGAAGGACAGTGAGCCTGATGTGTTAACCACTACTCTAGACCTTCAGTACTGTTCTGTACTACTGAAGGCTTAGAGCTCTTATAGCCTGAGACAAAGGAGTTGTTGGACTTTGGATTTTACACAATAATTCTAAGACACAGGATTTTTTCAATAGTGGTGACAGCTGCAGTTATTATGGGGAGAACAGGTAGGAGGTTTGCCCAACAGAACACTCTTCCCATGATAAGACATCAGGTAGTGCTAGTAGAAGACCCATCCTCCTCTTTCGCTAGTATATTGAGTGTGACTCAAATTTAAGACCTCCATAAAGTGACCTTATATCATTCTCCGCACCCTCCTATCTAGCCTTTCAAGATTGTAGCACACAGACAGTGTAATTTGTCCTTGGAAGATACGAGTACAATGATATCCAGAGTTAAAATTGCTGCTTTGTTGTCAAATGAGTCACACGTCACCCAATTAATTAGAATGACTTCAGATTACAAAAGACAGTGGGTCGTTATCAACTGTTAACACCAGATGTCACTCTCACCTAAGGAATTAAAAAGACTCTGCTGGCCAATACTAAATGATCGTACTAAATGGTACTAAACCGATCTTAAAACAATTATAAAAAGCGTAGCCTAAACTCAGTAGACTCCTCTCATACTCTAATTGATATAACAGAACTACTTTGAATTATTTTGCATTTATAGGCATTCTTTCTAAAAACAATATTTCATTTTATCCGGTAGAATAGCACAAATTGGAGCAGATTAAAAAATTCTAAAAACTAAAATATCAAGGTTTCCAGCAGTTAACTCCTTCATATTGATGCACTTTAGGATTTGGGTAACATTTTTCCAAAGGGTTTGTTATAAATTGAAAGCAAATATTCCTTTTGAAATGCAATGAACATCCATACTGATACAGAAGGTAGAGTGAAGTTTCATATTTTAAGTTCATACTGACATCTGGCGACAAAAAAATCGTCTTGAAAAGGTCCTTTGATCAGATGAATCATTTAAAAAGAGCCTAAACTACAAATATATCACAAGGTGCAACAAGGTAGAGTGATATCCAGATAATTCTTTTATTGCACTTGAGTTTAGTGTTGGAAAATCAGAGAACTGAGTACACATACTGGAAACCAGGACTGAAAATCTAAAGCATGGCTTTAGGGCATGGCTCTTCTCCTACCTTACTCTACTTGAAAATCCTTAAGTTTCATCACTGAGTACCTCTTTTCAGGTTTAAATGGAATTCACATGGCTCATAAGCCTGGCATTGGTCAGATCGTTATCCACTGGGCATTGTACCCCTATATGCCAGGAGTTATTTGGCTATATAAATTAGCTACTAAGGTATTGTGAAAAATGTCTTACCGCATCTGGTTACCAGCTTGTGTCAAAGTTCTTTTCAAAAGCTCCTGGATATTTCTGATAAGTTCAGCTTCCTAGATAAAAACATTGAGACTTCTGTGATATCCAGAGCAGTACATACTATCCTGCAGAGCAATTTGATTTCAATGGTTGTGGATAAATACTTAAATCTTCCACTCATTACCCACTCTTACCCTATTATTGCAAGACACGATTTTCCAAGGAGTTAGCAGATACTGAGGTAACTCAGCTATAAGTCTAAGGCGGCAACAATACTTGGAATACTTCTAAAGCCTGGGGATTCGTTATTTTCATATTGCACGTGTATTCTATGAAAAAGTCTATGTTCTATCAGATTAAACAGAGTATCTGAATTACTTGCACAGTCTTGAAGTAGAGAAAAATAAGGCAACAGCATCATGCTCAGCAGACCAGAGTTTCTGCCTTGCACAAACACAAGGTGCCGTTTTAAAACTGGGCAGGACACTGTCTGCCCTGCAAGCACAAACTCAGATGTCAGAGGCTGCTGCCTTGCACAGGGATGTGATACTGCAGATCAGCTTCTCTGGCAAGACGCTGACTTCCAGAACCTGCTGAGTCCTTGCAGATACCTTCAGAGCCTGCTGCCTTGTTCTGTAGGAAGCGTTTTTTCTGTATGCAAGGCAGAGGCTTCCCATGCGATTCCTGCAGACCTCCAAAAATACGGTTTGTCTGACGTACGGTGATAAGGTGCTATTTAACATAACGGAGTGGCAGTATCATAACCTTCTGTTGGCCTGCCTCCTTTGAATGCTTCGTATTAACTAAAAATAGAAGTTACTACTCTATGATTTAAACAGCTATTGTCTGCTTCAGCAGGTATAGGAAAACTGTCATAATATAAACCCAATGACACTTACAGCTGTCATTTTTTTATTAGATCTGTTTATTCCAGAACTCATTTTGCCTCTGGTGATGGACAGTATCGAGGACTGCAGAATTATCTCAAATATGCAATGTTGCTTGAGGGGTTAATTTCCTCTGAGTTGCAAGACAGTGACTGCTCAAAGTCACGAAGCTGTGCCTCACCTTGATAACGGATCCGATGTCTGAAGTTTCAGCTCAAGCTGGTTTTAGCAGGAACGTTCATTTCAACACAAACGTGATCAAACCAAAAAAGACCATACTTTCTAATAATCTCTTGTTGAACAAAAAGTACCTGGTGCTCATTTTTGACTGCAGTAATGCTGCTTTAGGGATTAACTATCAATGCTCTATGAAGTGACTTTACTGACCTGGCGATTACATATTATTATATAAAAGCCAGTCCAGCAAGCATTTTCTTTTTTATTATTTAAAGGAACGTAATATTTGAGGCTCGGATATTAGAAAGAGATTTTGTATATGAAAAACTCCTAATTAATTTTGCTGGTTTACATCAACAACAGTAATTCAATGACAGCTAAGGGAGTATATACTTACTAATAAACTTTATTCCCAGAACACTGCTGGCACTCGTTGATCCTTGTACTGTTTTTGACAAATAAATGAGTGTGTATGTCCCTGCAGTGTCACTTTCTCCATCACAAGAAACCAACAGGGACCATCAAAAAGATCATCTTATTGTAAATGGAAAAGGACAATCATGATTGGAAAGAAAGTATTATTTTTAAGGCTCTAAAAAAGCACAATTAAAATAAATACATAGCTGAAGGTATCATTTTACAAACTGTGAGAACACTAAAATTCACTTTCAGCAGGGAGGAAGTATTGCAATGGCTGAGTTGTCAAAGTAAACATTCAAAAGGATTTTAAAGGGTTAGAAAGATCCAGCACTCAAAATTACATTTATAGTAATTGATATTATTTTGTGTTGGGTAGTCAGTCTCCACGTAAATAAAGAGACAACCATTTTCCTGTGAGTAATGTGCACAATTTTAAATGAGAAAAGCCTTCCTTTAGCA